AGTCACTATCTCATCCTCCTGGACCACTGCCTTCAATATCTGAATTAAACAAAGGGACCTTTGGCTTCTCACTGCTATCCTAATCCTTTGTGGAAATGAGTGGATATTAACACTAAGCAACTTCCAGTGGTTGGGAAGTAATGGTGTGAACAAGATAAGAGTTACTCTTTGTTAAATTTCTGGTTATCACTCTTAATCTATTCACCTAAGAACAAGCCTTTGTTTTTTTCCCCTTTAGGATAACCTACCTTTCCAAAGGGTTTTTTTCCTAGGAGTTTGGAGAAGTTTTTAGAGAAGAATACTGGTTCTTACTATTTTCAGTTTTACTAAAAAGGGAACTTTTTAATGTGTTTCCACAGGAAGAATTCTAAGTCTTTTACCATACTGGTTAACCTTTTCTGGATGTTTTCCATCTTAATCAAGGTTCTTCCTAAGATATGATGCTGAGAACCCAAAACAATACTCCAGATGTGGTCTGATCTATGCAACATGATCATCACCTTTTTATTCCTAGAAACTATGCCTCTCTTAATACTGTCAATATCTCATTCACTTTCTTGGTTCCCATATTGTACTGTTGAGTTATATTGAGCTACTAGTCCACTAAAATTCCATCTTTTTTTCAGAGAAACTTCTGTCTAACCATGGCTCCACTAAATGTGAAGTTGATTTTTGAACCTAAGTATAAGACTATACATTTAGCCCTAAATTTCATCCAATTGGGTTGGACTCAATGTTTTGACCTGTCAATATGTATTTGAATCCTGTCATTCAGTGTTTTGCAGTGATATGAATAAAGTTCCTGCTTAATTAGGCCTCAGGACTAGATGTCTAATATTGCCATTGTTGATAACTAAGGTTTCTATAAGGTGATATCCCCAGGAGAATCAGATGCTCACAGATACTTTGGTTGTTAAAATGATCCCTTTACTTTCTGCGAGCTAGGGCAGTTAGAAATGTTCAGTTGGTTGAAGGCATCATCATCATCAACAACAACAACAACAGCAATGTACCTGGCCTTTATAAAAGATTTCAAAGTCAAGTCAATAAGCATTGATTAAGCACCTACAATGTGCTGGGCGTTGTGCTAAGTATGAGGCTATGTAAAGTGTTTTCAAATGTTATTTCAGACTCAGAAGCACGGGGATGATTCTCCTATTTTAGAGATGGAAATGAGATCTGAACCTAGGTCTTCTTGAATCCAAGCCCAGTACTTCATTAAATTCATCTCGAGCTACTTTAAGCACAGTCAAGGTCCTTCCATGTGTCTGTTAGAAGGGCTTAAATCACAGGGCATCAAACAGAGTCTGAATTATTGAACCTATTCTCTGGATCTAATGACTTTTGTAATGTGGGCATAGAAAACTAATTGAGAAAACACTTTCCCAAGGAATAATAAATGAATTCTCTCTTAATTTTCTTTTTTACCATGTAAACCCTTCCTTGAAATTGTCTACCCTTTTCTCCTATATACTTCAAACAGGTTGATTCCAATCCATTTACTAGCTGTATAAATCATAAACAAGTTGAGTGTCTCAAAAGAGAGAACTGAGTGAGGGGATTGAAGTGGTGCCAAATAGTAAGGCATAGACCCCCCCCCCATCCTTTATAGCAATTCCATATCTGAGACCTAAAATAAAATGTCCATCATCATCTCCCCACATTTGTCTTGTTCTTATGCTATTCCTCTGACTACAGATCATTTCTGAGGGATTAGAGAGCCATCATGGTAGAGAGAGAAGATCACTTGTTATCAGGAGACACATGGTTTTAAATTTTGCCTTTAGTGCAGCAGAGGCAAGTCAGTAACCCATCTGAGCCTTAGCATTCTCATTGGATCCAATGAGGATTTAAGTAGAATTGTGCTAAGTGCTGCAGAACTAGAGACAGAAGAAAGGTGACAGCTGTATGCATTGAGAAAAGGGAATTGAAGTTGTGTGTAGAGGTGGAATCCACGAGGTTTGGCAACCGGCTGGATATTGGGCTGGGGAGTAGGAAAGAGTAAAATAAGTTTGAACCAGATGCACACTTGTTTGACTTCTATCTCCCTGGAAGTAGAGACGTTTGGAGGAAGGGCAGTTTTAGGGAAAAGGAAAATTATTTCCATATTTAACAAGTTGTGTTTGAGATACTTACTGGATATCCTTTTGGAGAAATTCAATCGAATCCACAGTTCAAAAGAGACTCAGGCTAAATATGTAGATCTGGGAGTCATCTGCAGATAGATAATAATTAAACATAGAGGGACTGATGAGACAGAGTGAGTAGAAAAGGATCCAGAAAATTCAGAAAAGGATTACTGAAGACTTATAGGCAGGGGGTGGGACATAGATCCAGAAGATCCAGAAGAGGACAGAAGAAGCAGGTAGGCAGCTAGGAGAAGCAGGAAAGAGTAGTCTCAACAGAGTCAAATGCTACAAAGAGGCCAATAAAGATGGAGACTAAGAAAAGATCATTATATTTAGCAACTAAGAGACCGGAATCTTAAACACTGGTAAGGTAAAATGTGTTCATGTGCAAAATAAGGGACAATACTCTTTTAAACCACCACATAGTTGTGTACTAATGGTACTTACTCCACAGAGTTGTTGTGAGAAGGAAATGAGAATATATGTAAAATGTTTTGTAAACTTTAAAATGCTACATAAATGTCAGCTATTGTTACCATTATTAGCTTTAGTATTAGTACTAGAACTATGCATCCACTTACTTTAGACAGTAGCTGTTACTAGGAAACCAGCTAATATAGTTCTTTGCAAAATGTATCAGTTGTCTGGGGATGTTGAATTTGTTGAATCATCACAAAGAAGCAGAAATATTTTTGTCCTTATTTTATTATAAGATATTCTCTATAACATCAGAACAATAATTCTTGACACTAGGGATTGCATTATTTATGGCCTCTTATTTTTGTATGGTCCTATGTATTTTTCCCCATAGAAACTTATCTTTAAAATCAATCACAAAAATGAACACTTCCCTTTAAAGTAACACAATGCTCTCTGTAACTAATGGGATTTTAGCATTAGATGATGTTGGTATCTCAACTACCCTCTACATAAAAATGAGAAAAAAAAAACCACAAACTATTTACTAACCCAATTTCCTTTTCAAATTTGTAGTTTAATTTTTAAACTAGAAAAGTAAGGGTGGAAATAGTGCACGAATTGTGTTTGGGAAGATATTTTACTGCAAGCAAGCACATGTTATGTGACAAGGCAAAAGATGTCTAGAAGAATTAGTTACCCAAATGGAGACAGCAAAGTAGGACGTTAGTGTGTTTCTCCCCCTGCTCCCATTAAAACCCACTAAAATCATGAAGAATTGTTTGTGAATTTCTCTAAATCTGTCTCTATATACATGCATATACATTTGCATACAGATAACACATATTACAAATGCTATTGTGTACATAGAAGCAAATATCATGATGGAAGATGACATACTCTTTGCTGGGCTATTTTCTTTGATGATCTTATTCCACAAAAATATTTCTTTGGTCATAATGTTTTTAGGTCTTTGTTCTGGTTCAAAGTAGTTTTGTTTCTTTTTATGTTTTTGGTTTAGAAATGTCTTCAGAGATTTTTCAATGTCCTTCACATTCCAGGATGGCACTGTTGTCCTTATGTAAATGCCTTTACAATCTTACTTCCCACTTTGGTTTCATGCTGTGGCTAGAGTTTGCTAGGCCATTCATCAAAGGGAGATGGTAAAGGTACCAATTGACACACACAAACAAAATTAAAGCAATTGAAGGAAAAATGAATTCTGGTCAGAAAAAAATCTCTTATAAGTAAAGTTCTGGTTACCAGCAAATCCAAGAGTAGTTTTATATCATAAAAATGAATCTCCAGGGAATTTGTCTGAAGGCAATAGGACTCCAAACATGAATTTTCCAAGCAACTCCAGTAGAATGAAAGCTATCTGAGAAAAGGAACTCTTCATTTTGTCTCTGTGTGCCTTGCACTAATAAATACATGTTGGATAAATGAACTTCTCATTAAGAATGATAGCTCATTTTTCTAGCACCATGAAACCCATCAATACTCCATACTACAAAAATGACTCCCATACCTTTTGCAGTTTCCCCTTCCATAACAATATATCCTGCAGAATATCCATTCAATCTTCCAATAAGCTCACCAACAACTTGGTTTAATCTCTTTTATGTCCAGGATTTGCAATCTTTTCCATATTATTTCCAATGTTTTAAGTTTTTTTAAAGAAATATTAGTACAATTTTACCTCCTTAATGCAGATGAGGCAGTTTAGCATGTGGGTTCCATTTCCAGTGACTTCTTTTGACCACTCAGTTTTGATATATTTGCTCAATTGCATAGTGTGTTTTCAGAATGGGAAGGCAAAAGCAGGAAAGGAAGTCCTCCTCTTCTTTTATGGTTGATAGGTGACTGTTTGCTATCCACAAACTAGATGTGTATTGAATTCTCCATGGAAGACTGAGTCACAGAATAAAACAATGAACTGCTGTTGACTAACAGACCCACAGCCTTTAGATCAAAAGAGATCTAGTGTGTCCAACAACACCTCCTGTATCTGTTAGGCAGGTATAGTTTCCTAGTGATAATCCTGTAAATGCCTCTTACATTAAGAACTCATAATAGTCAGAAAAAACTAAATAACACTAGGAAATATAACCTGAAAGAAAAGGAGGTGGGACAAATGATACCAGCTGGAATACCATACTAGAATTCTAATCCTTCCTCATGTATATTCTCAGTTCTCCTACTTCTCTTCCCTTAGATACACTGACTTCAGTCCTGATGGCAGCAAATCAGGGATGCAACCACAATGGGGAATTCGGGTGGCTTTGTTTCATGTTGGTAAAATTAGGTTCCAACCAGAAGTTTCCCCTCTCCCACTATTCCAGTTACTCACACTTTTATGTCCTTTATAACTATATAAAACACTTAAGTACAAAATTCCTGCATATAGTCTGATATGAGGCCAAGATAAAGATACTCCAAAAAAAACCAACAACCTCAGAAAACAGTGTTTAATGGCAATCTGTGATACCAGAAGGAAAACCACATAAGTTCACTTGACACTATTGTCATTAGAAGGAAATTCCTTTTCTACCTGCCTAGGTTGGCTTACTAAATAGAAAGAAGCTGAACTGTGTCTTTCAAAAGGTGTGGAATTATCATGGAAACTGAACAACATTCCAAGTCTCTTCTCACTATAACTAAAGCTTATGTGAAGAAACCCTGTTCACACTACCAAAGCCATAGGTAAGTACCAGTCAGGTTGTGGAGGTAAGGGGATAAAAGAATGACAGATTTCTAAAAATCAAAATATTTGAAATGTAAGATTAACCTACATATAATTTAAGCCTTTCTCTGGAGAAACTTTTAAAATCCTTGCCTAACTGAAGCCTTAAATGTTGTAAAATAATTAGGTAATGTTTCACATGCCATTTTAAATATTAAAAGAACAAAATCTCAAGATAACCTGCCCATTGACAAATTTTCCCTAAGCAAAAATTTTGGTGGGGTAGGAGGAGGCACACTGGGGAAATGGGCTCCTCTCAAGGCCTTGTAAGCAGCAATAAATCCATCCGTGGTACAGAAGAGCTTGTGATTCTCAGTTCTATTCAGCATTTTGAGTTAGATGTCCCCACAAGAATCAGATAGCACTACTTGAGGGACTGTGGGGCTCAGACCTAATGACCAGGCTGACCATTGGGAACTGGATTCCTGCCTGTCCCACGACCATTCTTCAAACACTCAGGTTCATCCTCTTCAGTAGATTCTTCTTCATTATCACTCCTTTGATCCTCAAGCTCCTAGACAAAAGTGAAAGAATGTACTATGAGCAAATGATCTTCAATATGTCATGAAGCACTGAACATGCTGTAATGAATATTTCAATACTTCAAGGATCTGTGTTGTAATATGTTTGGGGACAACCTCCACTGCACAGATTGGAATCTCTATGACTTGATGAACCAAGATTTGATGTGCTCAAAAAAATTTAATCAATATGGCAATCTTATTATTGGGTTGAAGGAGTACTTCTCTTTAAGAAGATGCACTTTATGAGATTCTAAACATAAAAAACAGATACGCTGGGGCTAGAAGTCTTAGCCTTTTCAGGAACTCTAGTCAGAATTATGTTTTTAAAAAATTTAAAGAAATATCAAATTTCAGTTGGGGTTAATGAAAGTAAAGATATATGTATATATACACACATGTATGTGTTAAATATGTATGTATGTATGTATATTCCCATCCAAGTTCACAGATGCCCTGAAATCTATCCAAACCTCTTTGGGGTCTTTGGACTCAAGGTTAAGGATTAGGGATAGGATATAAAAGACCTTCCCATAGGTTTCCTTTATGTAGAATTCCCTAGTCCATTCAAGTTTTTCTTAACAGATTATTGATGATTTCAGAGAAATTAAAGGGCAGAGAAGCTTAAAGGCTAAATTATTCTGAAGATCAACAAAATGAAGGTAATGTAATGTGATGTAAGTTATTCGGGAAATACTCAATTTACAAAAATACTTATTTTCTAACAACTTATTTCATTTGTTTATTAAGTAGTTACTAAGCATCTACTATGATCAAATGTCTATATAACTGCTATAGGGGATACATTGAAAGATGAGATTCTATATTTTTGTCTCCATGTATCTGAGAATCTAGATGAGGAGATCTTGTGCACACAAATAACTTTAATACAAACAGCATAAAATAAATGCCATATGAGTCATATAAACAATAAATGCTATGGGAGTTCAAAAGGTTATCAATTTTGAACCAGAAAGCTAAAAGCTCCAACTCTCTCATTTTATAGATGAATAAATGGAGGCTCAGAAGGTGTAAATGACTTGCCTAAGGTCATTCAGAGAACAAATGGCAAAGACAGGATTTGAATCTAGTTCTCTCTCTCTCTACAAATCCAACCCTCTTGCCATTACCTCAAGGCTTAAGATAAGGGAATGACCACTTTCACCTCCAGCTCCTTTGGAGAGAGCCTATCAACAATACACAGAAAAATAACCCTATTTAAAGGGGTGAGTTTTCCTGAGTCAATCAGTTAGTGCTGCCTAGCCACACCTTACATCCTATAGAATATCAAGCTAGATCTCCAGGAAATATATAAGCTGTAGCCTTCCCACTAGCTGCCTTCCTTAAGGGGATATCACAACTTGAACTGTCCTAACAGAAATTCTAAGGAAATCAATCAACCTTGAGGCAGTTGTTTTTAGTAGCCAAGAGACCACAAAAGCTTTTGTGGGGGAGTGAAGAGGGTTGTCAATCAAGGGGACAATCAAGGGGATTGTTTATCTAATTACAAACCTTATCTCTGTTGTTTTCTGCCTCCACTCCAGGTACTATTTATCTTTCTGCACTCTACTGGCCATAGGATAGCAACACATCATGGAGCCTGTGAGCTTTACTATTCATCAGTCAACCACTACAAACTCTATTGGTCCTCTTGTTTCTTTCCCTTTCTTGTAAACAATTACCAGCTACTGAGTAAACTGTCCTCTATTTCCACCTTCTGTTCTCTCATCTCTATCCTCTTCAACCTTATCTTACCCCAAGTCCCACTTTAACCTTGCCCACTCCTTCCACTGTTCCCTCTGTAATTTCTATTCCACAGTGAACAAACATCTTTCTCCTGCACTTCTTTTTCTCACACTCCTTACATCTTACAGCCTTTATTGAGATCTGGCTCCACCCCCAAAACACTACATCCCCAGCTATCTTATCCAGTGAAAGATATATCTTCTCTAACAATGTCCCCAATAAAAACACCCTGGTCACAGATATGGAATTGTAATACTACTTGCACCCCATTGTCACTTCCAAAATCTCCATTTACCTCCATCACTCAGTAACCTTTCCTCCTTTGAAGTTCACTCAATCAAAAATTTCCAGACAAGCTAAATTATCATGATAGTACAATATGCTGAACCCTAGATCAGTCTTCTTCCTTTCTCAAGGAGTTTACTACTGGCTCACCATCTTCTACTCCCCAATTCCTATCCTTATACTAGGGGGGCTTTAATATTCACATAGATACTCTTTCAAACACCCTTACCTACCAATTCTCAGTCCCATTAAAACCCATGACCAAAACCTTCACTCTTTCTCAGCCATACATCTATGCTAGATCTTACTCACAAGTATTCCACTTCCTTAGTTTAAAACCCTAACATTTTCCTTTCTCATATAAACTCCTGCCATTCCATTTCTCCCTATGCTTCATCCCTCCTAACCCTATCATTACCCTAATTAAGACCTCCAATCTCTCCACTATTCCGAATTTTCTTGGACCATTACTCCTGCTCTGACTTCATTTTCTTCCCTCTCCAAACTCAACCCAGTGGTTAGACATTGCAACTCTATACTGTACCTTGTTTTCAAATCCCTTACCCCACCCCCATCCTACCAGTTTTTATCTCTTGCCAAATCCCAGCCTTGAATTATACCCACAGTTCACTTCTCTGTCCCTATTCAAAAACTGTTGAACACAGCTGGGGGAAGTCTCACAACCATGCTGACCCAACTTCAACTGAGCCCTCCTTGAAGCAAGGTGATCCTTCAATTATTCCCTAATGGATTCCCTATTTCACTCCCCACGGAAATTATTTCAAACTTTTATCTTTCCTCCTCAAAACCCCCATCCATCCACCTTCCACTCTCTCTTAGCTGAGGACCTTGACTCTGCTGAGAAAACTGAGAACATCTGATGTGAACTTTCTTTTCTAATTCTCTTCATCTCAGAACTCCTTGACATCTTCTCCTTCTCATCTCCTTTCCCCAAATCTCTGGAAAAGTGACCCTTCTCCTTGGTGACTACCAGAACCCCTGCATGTACACTTGATCCTGACTCCTTTCACTTCCCCAGCAGATTGTATCCTCAATTACCCCCTCTCTGTTAAGAATCTTCAACCTCTCCTTATCCATTTGTTTCTTCTGTACTGTCTATAAACATGTCTACTTCTTCCCTAATTAGGCTCTACCATTCCCCTTAAGCTATTGTTGTAACATCTCTCCTTCCTTTTGCAGCCAAACTTCTTGGAAAAAACTATCTTTACTTACTGACCCAATTTTTTTTTCTTTCACTCCTCAACTCTTTGCAATCTGGCTTCCAGACTCATCACTCAACAGAAACTGATCTCTCTGAAGTTGCCAATACTGTCTTAATTGCCAAAATGTATGTTCTTTTCTCATTTTTCTTGACCTATCTGCTTCATTTGACACTAGTGACTATCCTTTCCTCCTGGATCATCTGTACTTTCTAGGGTTTCATAACACAACTCTCTCCTAGTTCTTCAATCTAACTGTTCCTTAGTTCATCATCCATATCAACTACCTAATTGTGTGTATTCCCCAAGCTCTGTCCATGGTCTTCTTCTCCCTCTATATTCTTTCTTTTGGTAATCTCATCAACTTCCATGACTTTAACTACCACCTCTATGCAGATGACTCATAGATGAATATGTTAGGACCCAGTCTCACTCCTGAACTTCAGTCTACATCACCAATTACCTATTGATATTTCAAAGTAATGTACCATATCTCAAACTCAATAGGTCCAAAACTAAACTCATTATCTTTTTCCTCCCCTTTTCCAAACTTCTCTATTCCCATTGAAGTCACCATTATCCTTCTAGTCTCTTAAGTCGTAACCTCAACTTCTTGCCAATTAGTTGCCAAATCTGACTGTTTCTAGCTCCATAACATCTGTCACATCTGACCCCTTCTCTCCATTCCCATAGCTACCACCTTAGTTCAGGCCATCATCACATCTCATGTAGAATATTGCAATAGCCTTTTATTTTATCTCCCTGGATCAAGAATCTCACCACTCCTAATCCATCCCCCACACTGCTGCCAAACTAATTTTCTTAAGTGCAGACCACATGACTTAATCAAATTCCAGCAATTTCCTATTGCACCTAGAATCAAATATAAATTTCTCTATTTACTTCTTAAAAGCCTTTCACAACCTAACTCCACCTTATCTTTCTAGACTTATTGGACATTTTTCTGTTTCCACCTACACACACACACACACACACACACACACACACACACACACGCACGCACTGAAATCCAACCAAACTGAAATTTTCTCTCTGTTTCTCATACATAATACTTCATTTCTCATCTCCATGCTTTTGGGTGGGCAGTCCCACATACCTGGAATGCTCTCTCTTTTTGCTTCACAGAATTATTCTCTTTCCTTAAGTTGCAACTCAAGCACCATCTTCTACATGAAGGCTTTCCTGATTCTTCTCAACCACTAGTACCATGGACCTCTCAAAGTACTTTGTATTTATTCACTTTATATTTGTATTATACATACTTCTCTATTTACTTGTCATCTCTTCCATAAGAATATGTTTTTTGTGAGTAGCAATTGTTTCATTCTTTCTTCTTGCATTCCCAGAACCTTGCTTAATGACTAGGACATAGTAGATATGATACTTAGTAAGTGCTTGTTGATTGATTGAGGAGACACTGGAATCAAGGAATAAGGTAAGAACCTATTGCAAAGGTAAGACCTGAAGTAGATGCAAAGAGGGGAGAATGGAAAGGATGGGATTGAAGAGCAAGACACTGTCTTTCAAAGAAATAATCCCCTCAGCTTTATGACTGGAAATAAAGAAGAGAGAGGATACAAAGCTGACAACTTTTTCAACAGATTTTACTGCTGCGCCTTGTTTTTAATATTACTGTCATTTCTGGGTATTCAATCTCTCACTCCCCCACCCTGACCCCTGACAAACTGAATCTTCCCTTAAAAAGAAAGAAAAAGTTGAGC